GAATAAAAAAATGACAAAATAAATAAACAAATAAGACAGAGCTGTTAAAAGAGCAAACAAGTAAAATAGTAATATCAACCTAGAATTTTATACATGCCATTGCCCATTTTTCAATCAATCAACCAACATTAAAATTAAAAGCAACTATTTAGAGCCTCCTTTATAATTTATTCAAGAAAATTGACAATCACTTGTGACATTGGTGCAATTGCACACAAAGCACCAATTTCAAATTCACCCATAAATTATTACATGGCTAATAATAAAGTAAGTCCAGTTGTACCCAACCATAAGGTTTTGCTAGCATCATCAACCCAACAAACAAGAACACACACTAAGAGCTAATAGTTTATTCAAATTGATATCATAGTCCGATAAAACTTAATCATAACAATTAAATAGTTTCCATAGATATATGGGACCACCCTGTAACCTTGGTTGGTTTCCCCAACTTCTTGATCTTCATAGAATTTGAAAAAATCATGTCTTGAAAATCACCTGTGAGACAAAAAGTCAAATCTAAATAGTTTACAGAGAAACCAGAGGAGGAAAATATTAAAAAAGGATTAAACACATGTTCTCATATACTTTGTTTCTTTCTTCTTTACTTTCTTTTCTTTCGAATAGAAAATATAGATGTCTCAACAACATATGTCGTTTCTTAGTTGGTTTAATTAACAAATCCAGAGATATCAAAAAAAGGTTGACATCGAAAGAAGAAATTTATTAAGAAAATCAGAAAGGATAAAAGTGCTAAAACAAGAACAAAGTACAAACATATAATTTCATCTATTCGTTTGTCTTCATTGGGTTATACTTTTAATTTAGCATAAAATCATTTCAAAATTTATTTCATTTCATTAAAAAGAAGGCTATACACAATTGCTATCTATTTTAATTTCATATACTTATGCTCTATTTGTTTTTGCAAAAAATAAAAAATCTACGAGATTCTTCAAAAAATGTGTTTTGCATAAAACATTGTCTTATATATTTGGTTAGGACTCTAAAATGATGATATACTAATAGTCGTGGGAGTGATGGTGTGGATTATGATGGTGGCGGTACGGGTGGTGACAATATTAGTGGTAGTGACGGTGGTGGTTATAGGGTGGTTGGTGGTAGAGAGGTGATAGTGGTAACAACGGTGACAAACTAGGTGGGTTGAATCATAATAGAGATTTTGATATCATGTTGAAAATAAGCAAAGAAAATCCTTGAGTACATCCATATTGGTTAGAGAATTATTTGTGGCAGTTGAATCGAAATAAAATTGAACAAGAAAAACTTGCACTAAATTTGAAAATCATAATAATAAACCATTGTATTCCATTAATGATCAGTTTACTTTGGATGTACCCCGTCAATGGAATGAACTCTTTATACAGTAACATGAAAATTATACTATGTGAAAATAAAAATTGATGAATCACAAAACATTTTGACTAACAGACTTTTCATTCATCGGTGAGTCATCTAATTAGAATTTTCATTCATCAAAAGGAAAGAGATAGATTTGTCAGAGGGCTCCCAAATAAGGAGAGCGAATTGAAAGCTTAGTTTTGCAGAGCAGACCGATATTTCGCACTGCCCCTCCTGTAAGGGCCAGAGCTCGCTAGCATCACTAACCAGGGGAGAGAGAACTAATGAAAAAATTGCCCAAGTAATTCAATGAACAAAGAAAATCATTCTATCCTATCAAATAAGGAATTAACTTAGACTACCTACATGCTAGTCAACGAAAACAACCTCTAGACTTTGTGACCTTGCAACCACATTTGTTGCGTCGGAAACACAAGCTTCTAGTGGGGTACTACCCATTCTACGCCTACCAAAGCTAATCTACTAAAACAGGGAATTTTGGATTTCAGAGTTTTCATTGGTTCAAAATAAATTTAAATCAATATAGAAGAATTTAGAAATTGACTAATTAGGTGTGTTAAACTTTGGACAAAATAGGAGAAGCAAGTCTACACAATTTGGAGATGATCATCAACTAATACTATTATAATAGTAAATTTTTGAAATCATGAGGGGACAATTGCCCCTCTTGCCGCTTCTAGTCTCTAGATCCATGCTTGGTGGTGATTATTGATTAGTTTATTGCCATGACACTAAAATATTAGAGATGAAGCCAACAACAGGGATTAAAATATTAGAGATGTTGTAGCGTTTGATCTGTGTGTTGTAACTTGAAATTATTATTCTTTGCAATGCTCATCTCATGTAATTCTTCACAAAAGAATCATATAAATTTTAATTTTTTTTTAAATATATATTATGATTTGAAATTTTTAATTAAGAGATAAAAAAATTGTAAAATATCCCTTAGGATAAATTACACTTTGCATCCCTACACTTTGCACAAAATCTCACTTTGACCCTCTACACATAAAATCATGACAGTTAACCCCCTGCACTTCTGATCAAATCTTACTTTAGTCCCTACACATGAAATTGTTACAGTCAATCCCTTCTACTTTTGGTCAAATCTCACTTTGATCTCTATACAAGTGTCAATGTCTCCTTTCTGTTACTCAATTAAACAGAATCTAATCATGTAATAAGAATGTAACTACGACATGAGGATAAGAAAGGAAAGTCATCTACATTTTCTACCAATACACACTGTACGGGAAGCAAATATACGTCGTTGTCCATACTCCTCATGTCCAAGCTGCGCTTCACTCCGATCGACCTGAGAACGCAATGACGGTAAGCTACTTGGCGGTGTGCTGCCGAAAAACCCCTCCGACGGTCAAGTTAGCACACTTAGAGAGAGAGAGAAAAGAAAGGAGACAAAGTGGTAGGTAAGGATGTTTCCGACCTCAGTTTGGGGGCGCAACTCTGTTTATGTAACTTCTGCGCGCGCTTCTGCGCTCATTCACGTTTGGACATGTGGACCTACTCTCCTCTCTCATTTCCCCACGTGTTAGGGCAAATATAGCTAAACACTACCTAACAAAACCGCCAACCGGCATCGATGTGCACGGACAATGTAACTCCCTTCCTGCAGACTCGTGGCGCTGCACAACACCCATGACCGAGATACGCTCAACACGGAGCCATGCCATCACACACCAACCGAGCTACTTGTTCGGTCTCTTTGACAATTTCGTACCATGGTTCAGCCGAGCTCCTTGGTTACGATCGAGCATAATCTCAGTTCACCACGTCGGAAGGACTAATTCAGCCCAACTCTGAATAGTGCATATCTCCTCGGACTGGAAATCCACAATTGTTCTCGCCCAACCGGAATAAGACCTCGGTTTAACACGCACTCAAGGACAAATCGAGTAGGAGCTCTTGACCCTGACACAACCAGCTCAGCTCAACATTTTGGTCGCAAACCTCCCTCTTAATTGCCCCTTAATGTCGTCCGTGCTAGCGCGATCGGAATTATATTCTTCGGTTGGGGTTGCACATCTGCTCGATTGTTCACTCCGAGTCATTTACTATGCTAAATTTCACGCTAAGTCCCATGACTTGTTCGGCCGGCGCTTCGATTTTTCAACATGTCCTTTCAAGACTGACACCGATCTTATTATAGACACGTATCCTCCATTCCATTGGCTTCGTACAGCTAACCCCGCTGCCTTATGATGTCTCTTCAAGTTCAAATCTTGGCGCCTCTTCTTCCCCTATATACACATCGCATGCCCCTTCACATTTATTCCTCTATTGTTTATCTTCTTTCACAGACAACCTAGCGACCCAGAGCTACAGTGCAACCTCCTTTATTCTATACACTTCTCGCCCACATCACAGCATCCATTTGGTGAATTTGGCCTCGCTGTTGTTGCACAGAAGCATCTCCATACTTGAAAATTCGATTCTCGCCTCCGAACCTGTAAGTTCTTCGACTTTCCTTGGCCATTTTTTTTGTTCTTGGGCTTGCCATGTTCCTAAGTTCAACTTCCATAGATGAGTTTTAGAGTACGAGAGCTGGAGGTCTCAGGACTTAGTAAGAAGTTAGGTTAGGATTCCTCTCCAATGTAATCGTAAGAACTATCCTTGTTACTGTTCATCATCTTCTTGTGATGAACATGCCAGAATCTGGGGCTAACGGGGCTAACTGGGCTTTAATCCTTTTTTTGATCCAAAACCGTAAGTGAACCGAGCAAGATCCATGTTTATAGGACTTGGGTGAGAACCGAGCTAATGAATGCGTTGGGCCGCTCGACCAGGCTAATATTTGGTCTACTCGAACGACCGAGCTGTTCAGTTCACCCATCAAGATCGAGATGCTACTGTACCTCAAGTGACTAGGCTAAAGCTCAGCTTGTTTGTGCGACCACGCTATCACTTACACTTGGCTTTTACTGCAGAGTCCTAGGAGACCGGACACCAACACTAGAGCTCTCAAAGATCGAGCAGCCATCGGGCAACACTTTAACAATTTAACACTGCCGAGCTAAACAAGCCAGCCTTCGATGGGGCGCTACTGTTTCTTTGTTGACACACTGGGCGTGTTGGCCGCATTTTGAAAAGAATACGATATTCCGACTGATGTGCACCTGGCGCTTGGTGAAGAGGATATAAACCCATGGGGTAGGCTGGAGTCCTACCCTTTCACCGTACTAAGCATAGTCGAAGGGGGTTACGCTTCCCCGTGCAATCCTTGATCTGTGAGCCTGAGACGCACCGGGCTCGCTCGGACACAAGTGTCCACCAATACCCTCAGGATCATAAACGACGTGGCCGAGCTGAACCACCGGCTTGGTTTAAACTTGGGCCTAGCCAAGATCTTGAGCTAATATACACTTGGCCGAACTAAAGATGGTTTCAACTATTATTTAAAAATAAGGCCAGGCAAAGAACGATTAGTGATCGGCACGCCAGACAAAGCTATGCACGATGATGATTTCTTCTGGGTGTCCGGTAATTATGAAACAGCTGACGTGCCCGGTTGGTACACCAGCAAGAACTTTGGTTCTTCTTGTAAGCCCATCTTCCCGACCGATTTATTTTGTCAATATTGTTTGTGCCAAGCTAATTACTTCCTTTTTGCAGCTATCAAAGAATTGCAAGCCAACTACCAGTATCCCAGCGAAGAGGCGATCAGGGCTGCGCTGAGATACCGGCACTAAGATTGCCACGATTTCCTCGGTTACGTCCCCACCTATCATTACTGGTCTCTCCACAGGAGCAAGGTGATAGACTTTCTTCAAACTCCTTCCTCTCCGGCTGACCCAACTCTGCCAGACGTCCTACTAATACGATTAACTAAGGAAGAAGAGATGACAAAGAGGAGTCGGATCAAGAACTTAATCACGGCTACTTCAACCGAGCTACCTAGCATTCCTCCAGCTCCGTCCTTCAGTCAGAGTTCGGGGACCGTGATTGCCTTGGCCTCCACAGTTGTTCCGCCTGCTCAGTCTCGCCACGCTGGCAAGCACACCCGATCAGCCGACCCCTTTGCCGAGCTTGTGGCCGAGCTAAACACTGAACGGATAGTGCAGGAAGCTGAGCCCACTACACGGTGAAAGTCAAAGTTCAAACACTGGGGCAAAGAGATCCCGGCCACCGCATCTGTTAAGGGGACAAGGAGCACCTCTTGGCCTTCGACTTATCGAAGGCGTTGCTGCTGCTGAGCAATGTGACCGGAAGTGATCACGTTCCAGACACTCGGCTCGTGAAATCAGCGGTCAAGTCCATGACTAGGGTATGATTCAGAATTTCATCAAGTCCCTGCTTAGTGCATTTTTTTGCTTAGGCTAACCTCCTTCCTACTTCTTGCAGGCCATCCAAAAACAACATCTGGTCATGGATCGTGTTGTCAATTTGCCCCATAAAGTCACCGAGCTGAACAACGCCTATAAAAACATCTCGGTTGAGCTTGGCCGAGTGCCTCCCTTGAGATCGCCAACGCTGACAATGCCAAACTTCTTGGCCAACTTGGTAGGGCCGAGCGAGAGAGGGACTCCATGAAGGCCGAGCTAGAAGTTGAAAAGAAAGTGAAGCAGGACGCCGTGGATGAGGCCAACAACCTCAGTTTCAAGGAGGCCGAAGACAACTATATCAAACAAGTTGACGCTACCAAGGACATCTACTTTAAGTCCGGTTGGAAGGCTACTTGTGAAAAACTTAGCCAATGATTTGAGACCGAGGTGTTCACATCTCCTCCCCCCGCCTTCCTACCGGTCTATTTGATACCCTATGCCAATGAAGTCTTCAACTCTTTGCAAGAGGAGGCCGAAGAGGAGGCTGAGGATGAGGCCGGTCAGAAGGAGCCCGACAATAAAGAAAAAGCTGCCGTTGTCGACTTGGAAGCTGCGACGAAGGGGGCCAGAGACGAGTTTGCTGATCTCTCCCCTCTAGCATAGCCTTTAATGGTCCATCTTTTTGATTTGAACTTTTGTAACCGGGCTATAAGTCCCTCCTTATGTACTTAAATGTTCAATTAATGAAAGTTTTTAGCAAACTTATCTCGAATATTTTTGCAATGTATAATGTGTCTTCCCTGAAACCGAGTAAAATCATATCGGCTAATATCTTGGAGTTGAACAAGTCATCAACTTCATCGGCCGAGCAAAATCATTTCGGTCAAAAGAACAGAGGTGAACAATTCATTGACTCAATTGACAGTGCTAAATCATCTCGGTCAAAAGAACAAAGTTGAATAATTCATCAACTCAATTGATCGAACTAAATCATCTTGGTCAAAAGAACAGAGTTGAACAATTCATTAACTCAATTGACTGAGCAAAATCATCTCGGTCAAAAGAACAGAGTTGAACAATTCATCAACTCAATTGACCGAGCTAAATCATTTCGGTTAAAAGAACAAAGTTAAACAATTCATCAACTCTATCAGCCGAGCGAAATCATTTTCGGCTAAAAGAACAGCGTTGAATAATTTATCAACTCAATTGATTGAGTTAAATGAGCTCGGTTAAAAGGAAAGAGTTGAACTCCCTCAACAACTCTATTGGCCGAGCAAAAAGTATCCTGGCTAAAACCGCAGAGTTGAGCAATTTATCAACTCTGTTGGCCGAGTAAAATCATCTCAGCCAAAATCTTGGAGTTGAACAATCCATCAACTTCATTTTCTGAACAAAATCATTTCAGTTAAAAGAATAGAGTTGAACTATTCATCAACTCAATCAGCTGAGCTAAATCATCTCGGTTAAAAGAACAGAGTTGAACAATTCATTAACTCAATTGACAAAGCTAAATGAGCTCGGTTAAAAGGAAAGAGTTGAACACCTCATCAACTTTATTGGCCGAACAAAAAGTATCCCGGCTAGAACCGTAGAGTTGAGCAATTCATCAACTCTGTTGGCCGAGTAAAATCATATCAGCCAAAATCTTGGAGTTGAACAATCCATCAACTTCATTTGCCGAGCAAAATCATCTCGGTTAAAAGAACAGAGTTGAACAATTCATCAACTCAATCGACCGAGCTAAATGAGCTCAGTTAAAAGGAAAGAGTTGAACATCTCATCAACTCTATTGTCGAGCTAGATCATCTCAGCTGGGGCAGTTGCCCCTTGTTCATTGCACAATCCATTAATCATAACAAATTAATTATGTACAGTAACTCTTTGTTATTGTGTTCATGAATTTACAAGGTGACGAAAAGAATTACATTGGCAGACTAAGGGGAATGCTTTCCCTTTACAAAAATTACATTGAAAGATGGGAACTAAAAATAAAACAACTTCAGATTAATTGCGTTCCACAGTCATGGTATAGTTTTGCCATCCAAGTCTTCCAGATGGTATGCCCCTTTGCCTACCAAACCGGTGATCTTCTAAGGCCCTTCCCAGTTTGCTCACAGTTTTCCTTCACTCGGTACCAGGGTGTTGCCCATCACCTTCCATGAGACCCAATTCTCAACTTTAAACGGTCTGGGGGTGAACTATTTTGTTATACTTCTGGGATAGTTCTTGTTGATATGCCGCGACATGGATCAGAGCCTTTTCTCGGCGCTCTTCTACTAGGTCCAATTCTAAGGCAATGGCTTTGGCGTTCAAGTCGGGCTCAAAATTTTCATTGCGGACGGTGGGCATACCGATGTCCAACGGGATGACTGCCTCCATACCATATGCCAAAGCGATCGATGTCTCCTCGATCGAGCGTCTTGGTGTTGTTCGGTAAGCCCAGAGAACATTTGGAAGTTCGCTGGCCCACTTTCCTTTGGCTTTCTCTAATCTTTTCTTCAGCCCATCTAGAATGGTCTTGTTTGATGCTTCAGCTTGGCCGTTGGACTGAGGGTAGGCCAGAGTGAAATTATAAAATTCTATCTTTAGTTCCTCACAAAATTCTTTGAACTACCGTCCATCAAATTGAGTGCCATTGTTAGAGATTAAAGCCTTGGGGACTCCGAACCATGTTACCACATTCTGCCAAACAAATTTCTTCATGTCCTTTTCTTTAATTGTCGCCAAGGGCTCGGTTTCAAGCCACTTGGTGAAGTAGTCCATTGCCGCTATAAAGAACTTGCGATCACCTGGCGCGGTTGGGAGTGGTCCCATTATGTCAAGCCCCCACATTGCGAAAGACCAAGGACTTGTGAGAGGTAGGAGCTCTCTAGCCGGCTGATGAATTTGGTGGGCGAACTTTTGGCACTTCACGTATTTTCTCACATATTTTTGTGCATCTGCTTGCATGCACGGCCACCAGTAGCCTTGTGAAATAGCACGATAGACTAAAGATCTCCTGCCGATGTGGCTCCCATATACCCCTTCGTGGATCTCGTAAAGAACAACATCGACTCTGCTTGGGTGAACGCATTTGAGGTATGGACCGGTGAATGACTTCTTATACAAAGTGCTAGATATAGAGAGCCAAAACCGCTCAGACTTCACCCGGATTTTGTGTGCCTCTTTCTTGTCAGTTGGCAGGATCTTTTCCTTGAGGAAAAGGATGATAGGGTCCATCCAAGAAGGACCTAGCTCGGCACATAGAACTTCTGTCTGCTGTGAGTCTTCAATGCTAGGTCTTGGGAGGAACTCAATCAAGAGAGGGTCGGAGGTTGATTTGTCGAACATGGAAGCTAAACTGGCCAACTCATCTACCCGATCGTTATCTTCTCAGCCAATTTGCTAAACCCTTATGGCTTGAAAATTCGTGATGTGTTCTCTCACAAAAGTTTGGTATTTGGCCATTCTGTCATCTTTGGCTTCATATTCTCTAGATACCTGGTTTACATCGAGTTGGGAGTCACTGTAGACCATTAGCTCGGATGCTCACAATTGGAGCGCAGTTTTCAGTCCGGCTAACAGTGCTTCGTACTCGGCCTCATTATTTGATGCCGGAAACCGGAGCATGATTGAATATTCAATGGTTAGTCCATCTGGCGAGATCAAAACTACTCCTAGCCCAGTTCTATGCCGGTTTGAGGCGTCATCCACAAAAAATTTTCCACATTTTCCCAATGAAAAGTTTCTAGCATTTTGAGGGATCCTGGGATGTTTGAAGGTTTAGGCGATCATGATCGCTCGGCTTCTCGGCTATTTCTGATGTAAGCGCACCATTGATGATTGCAACAAACGGGCCTTCATCCCCCCTTGGTGATACGGCGTTGGATTCAACAGCTTGACCTGTTATTCCTAAATCTAACGTCGCATTGTCAAGCTGAACTAAACCTTCAAGTGATGGGTTTGTAGACAGGCGCGCAACTTTTGCTTCGCCACCAATTTTCGCCATACAAGCCCCGTTAGCCCGGTTGCCTCGGTAAGGTCCACCGGGAAAACTAGGTGAATTCCAGGCGAGAATTCCGCAACAAAGTTGGCCAATGCTTGGGCTTTGGGCAGTTCGGGGTTGAAACTTGATGTTGAATTGCCCCAACTCGACTGCCCACTTCAGAATTCAGCCAGAGAAGTCTGTCCGCTCAAATAAGGCCTACAAGGAGAACTCAGTCAACACCACGATCGTATGAGCGTGGAAGTAGTGTGCCAGTTTCCAAGAGGCCATCATTAATGCCAAAGCAAGTTTTTCCAGTAAGGTTTTGCTTACGTAGAAGATCAGCAGATATTGGGGGTCTTCTGCCCGGACGAGCACTGCGCTAACAGCATGTTGAGAAACAGCTAGGTAAAGGTAGAGTTCTTCGTCGGGCTTCGGTATGACCAAGAGTGGGGCGAAAGATAAATTTCGCTCGGCCAAGGCTTTGTCACATTCTTTG